ATGATCCACCAACTGAAAACTAATGCAATATTGACGGTCATTAGACTGTTTGTGTTTCAAACTGTACAAATGTTTGGTTTGTAAAGTGGATATTTTGTAAGGAAAGATGCACAAACAAACACAGTGTCATTTATTGAGCTAATGCAGTGACGTTCATTAACGTGACGCAAGCGCCAGAACTTTTCTGATGCGGAATGGAAAATCTCTGTTTGATAGACGCCGATCTGAACGCTCTTCATGTTTCCATCAGAGCCGTCGGGAACAGCGACAAGAAGATGATGAAGAAGAGGAAGAGTGTGAAACACAGCTCAGGTCTTCCTCAGGACAGAGACGGCCAGCGGAAGAAAGCAGAGACTCATGGGAAGGTACTGCAGATATCCTCACTTCAGATTTCTCCTGGGATTACTGCTCTGATGTAATGAACTGTTTTTATTACTCAGAAAGCCGGCAAGAGCCACAAGGAGCTCCTGGAGAAACCTCCTGCGGCCGAACCACGAGCGCTGCTGCCCGATCGCAGGTGCGTGCCGCTGCTTTATGATGCTTCGACTGGCTGCTGATGCTGTGGTCTGTCCAGGTTCATTCTCAAGCTGAAGAACTACACGGATCCGGCGGCCGCCGCTCACGAGAGGGACTTCTGCGTCCTGTGGTGAGAGCCGACCCAGCAGAGACAGAGACGTGAGTCTGTACACGAGTGACGTGTTGTGTTTGTCCCCAGCATGCGGTGCCAGTCTCTGCTGCAGATGGCCATGTTCTGCTCCAGACGAGAGCCAGCGCTCAGACACTCGCGGATGCTCACGGATCATTTCAGAGTGCGTGCTCCTCCGTCTCCTGCAGTTTATTCAGATGTCTGACGTCTGCCTCACGCTCTTTGTGTTTGTTTGCAGAGCTGGTCGTGGTCTGCGTCTTCCTCTGTGTCTAAGTGAGCGTCCTCGCCGCTACTCATGGACTCGGATCCATGCGCTGTCTTCTCTTCTCTTCACCGCTGTGTTTGTCTCCGCAGGAGCGGCTCGCTGCTCGTTCCTCAGCCGGTCCAGCAGGTGGCGGCGGCGTACATCAGCATCACCACACTCCTCCTGAGCGCTCACCACATCTGGGAGCAGGCGGACCAGATCGCGCGAGGCAGCGGTGAGACGGGGTCAGAGGTCACAGCTGAATGCTGAACGTCTTTGTCCTCATCTGTAAAAAACAATCTTCATAATACAGTAGGTTAGGGTTAGTAGTGCCATCAGTCGATTAAAATACTTCATTATAAGAGCGTTATTTTAAACTCGCTCTTTCATTCTTTTCCCCTTTTTTCAAGTTTATTTTAATTTTCATGTCAAGTAAGTTTTAAAATGATAAATTTTATTGAAAAAAAATCAACTCTTTGTCTTTGTGGAGCTGGTTTGTGGGCATAAACCATACGATATGGGCAACAGACTTTAGCAGAGCTACATTAGGAAATAGAAGACAAAACGAATGCAACGTTAATAGTGTTAATTTTTTTTTTTACGTGTTGAATGACAAATATTAATGGTGGATTAATTGTGTTTGGGTCTGTGTGCAGTATTTTTCAGTATTAAGTATTAAGACAGTATTTTTTGCAGACGATGTTTGTAGGTCTGTTATATTAATTTATGAAGTAAAAGAGTTGAGCCGGACGCTCGTGTGAGGATTGTTCTGGTGTTTTTAATGAGCGCAGTGGTTTTGTGGTGGTTTGCAGGTTTGCTGCGAGAGCTGGATTCCGCCGTCGGTCCTCTGAGTCTGATGTCCTCCATGAGTGCTTTAGTGCGATACGCTCGACACGGCCTGCACTGGATCAGACTCGACACGCAGAAGCGGCGCTGACGCTTCCCTTGACCGCCGGAGAGCCCAGGATGTGGCAGCCTTCATTTATTTGCACAATGATCAACTCAAACGATCAATCTCTCTTTAACGGCTAATGAAGCGCTTCAGCCGCGGGTCATTCTCACATGAAAACATGATGGTCTTCCCTCTGCACTGAACAAACCCACGTGACACTGCGTCCACCATCAAGCCAAAGTCCAGCATCATCTCATGAGTGTGTGTGTGTGTGAGTCTGTCTGTGTATGTGTGTCTGTCTGTCTGTGTGTGTGTGTGTGTGTGTGTGAGTGTGTGTGTGTGTGTGTGTGTGTGTGTGTGTGTG